TTTACCCTAATGATGTTTTTTTATTTACCTGCCTTAAGCACCTAGAAGACAGGAATCATGTTTTCATGGTGCCTTTACAGCATGACACTTTGTATGTAGTAGATACTTGGCCTATTACTTCTGGAAGGGGCTCAGAGATCATTCTCACATTACCAGTCAAAATACAAAAACCCAAGTCTCAACGACAAAAGAGACTTGACCAAGGTGACACAGTTAGTTCGTGGCAGAGCTAGAACCCAAAACCAGAATTTTGAACTCCTATTCTTATAATCCTTACATTATGCCAATAATTATTGTTATTACCCTAGTTCTATTTTGCCATCCAGATCTCAAAGAGAGTCATTCTTGAGCCTTAAGATTACATAAAGATGCAAACTTCTCTGGAAAATACTTTGTTTCAATTCTAATCTAGATGAATTTAATTGGCTTGGATGCAGGAAAAAAAGTGGGAGTTTTTTTTGTTTTTTGTTTTTGTTGTTTTGTTTTGTTTTTCTGTTTTGTCACCAAGTAGCTAAAGTCAGGGTTAATTATACGATAGTGTTGACTCTGGTATGATAAACTCTGTGAATAGGATTAATTTGTCTTTTTTACATACGTATTGGCTGTACACTTTTACACAGCAGCTTCCGATGCTCTCATCACATTTGTGATTCATAGTTGGAAACGGCACAGCAGTTCAGTTAGCATAACAGAAAAAAAACAGTAACTATAAAATTTCAGCACTGATATTGGGAGTGACCTAGAAGGAACTGTCAAGGGCAGGGGCTCCATCTCCAACCCTTTGTTAGCCCTATTGTCGAGCATAGTACTTTGGACAGAAAGAGAAAATAAATGTGTTTATTTGAAAAATAATTGGGTGACACTCAATGAATACTACATCATGTGCACACTTACAACGTATGGCTGACTTAATTAGTATAAATTAATTTAGACCTAAAATGTAACTCTAGACAAATAATTTATTTATAAAGATAACCTAATTATAAAGGATTGCTCAATAATAAACTATCACTTTCCCTAATCTACTAAATTAGGTAATTCTTAATGAAAGATGAAAATTTAATGAGATGCTGTGAAATGTGGTTATTTTGCTGGCCATTCTCCAATGATTTGGTACAGGGACACTTGAGGAACATAAAGAGGACAACAAGGCTTAGATGGACCATTGTTTCATTTAGGATAACTTACATAATCACTGGAAAAAACTAAATGATTTGCCAATTCAGTATTGTAAGAAATGTCAACTAAAAACTCAATTTCTTTCAGCGAAAATTTTGGGCATATTATTCTCTGGGCTGTGAGTGGCATGATTCAACACCACAGGACAGATAATATGTAGCCAGATACTTCTTGTGTTATTCAGTCCTTATCTTGTTATGTGACTCTTTGGGAACTGCTTAACTCTTGGTTCCTTTGCCTGAAACAGGAAATGGAGATATTTACTCAAAAACTGGTAGATATAGAACACACTCTTCTCCTTCCTTATGTCAGACAAGGCTTCCCTTATTCCACTGAGCTCATGAATAGGGATTATTTACCACTATTCACTCTGGATATTCTCAAAGGGCATTATAATAGTCTCCATTCTACTGAAGTACTCCCAAAACCCTTTCTTATAATCTAATGGTACCTCAATTACCCATATCACTTTCTGAAATTTCCTTAAAATCAGGATTGTCACAGCCTGACTTTCACCACAGGAATCTAAGGTAACAGGTAATCACTGTTTAAACACATAGCATAAAGCATTATAAATCCTCAGGAAAAGTACACTTCTTAGATAACAGGATTCTAGAAACCAGAATGAACACTTGGTTTCTAGACTGTCTTACTACATCAATGTGAAATCACTTCTCTTCATTAGCTGTTTAGAACAACAAGAACAAAAACACTGTATAAGTGTTTAATAAGGATACAGAAAACACATATTTCTGTCTATTACTGAAGTTACGCTGTTCAGGCCTTGCTAGCGGCATTAATAATTTCACATTCTCATATGCTATTTATTAACATTTAGAAGACTACTAAAAAGCTAGTAAAGTTTGCAACCATGTAAAAATAGAAAGGGTTGGCAGTTATGGTTCCAAAACATCTTATAAACATCATATTATTTATTTCTACCTTCATGAGGAAGAAACTGAAGAAATGTGTTTATTATATACTTAGTGAGGAGAAAATAGCTGGAGCTCCTCGGATGAGGAAGGTGGCTTTTTTCCCTACTGCAGAACTTCTCCAAAGCAAATTGAGTTCTGGTATCACGATTTTTTTCTCTAGGAGTATTTCTCTGACTACCTGAAAAGGAACCGGCTAAAACTTCCTGTGCAATTGGACTCCTTCCTGGGCATGTGGGTACCAGAAGTAATACCTTCTGCCAAGTAAAGCATCAAAGTGCTCACTGAACTTCTTCACCTGTACAAGGGCTGGCCCAAAGCCTTTTTGTGGTTCAAAGTGAGTCAGCAGATCCTAAACTCATTTTCCTCCTTTGACCACGGTAGAAACGCTGAAAGTGAATTATCTACTTACTGAGAATGGAAGGAGAAACAGAAAGTACTAAATTCTTAGTTCAATATGACTATGATTTGTCAGAAATCAAAATATTTTCTTGGATAATTATTTTGCAGCAGCTACTACTAAAAAGCAACAAGAATATTCATTATGCTACACAAAATTTATTTTTTAAAACATGCTTAAATCCAAGTAAATTCAGAGGTATTTCTCAAAGAGACAGTCTTGCAGAAAAATGGCATCTTGATAGAAAAGAGAAAAGAAAAATATTCCCTATGTTTTCCTTAAGGGAAAATATTTCATTTGTGTAAGCAACGTAGTGATGAAATATGACAGTCTTTTGCAACACAGTCCCATAATTTTCACTTATAAAATAGCATTCTTTGAGTGGTTTATCAAAACAGCTTGCCGATGGGTAGCCCATAAACAAATTAAACTAATAATGCATTTAAGTTTTTCAGAAACAAAAATCAAACCAAATCCATTTTGTTTCAATTTGTGATTTACATTTTTAGCACAAACTCCAGGGCAATTTTTAAAAGGCTGGAAAGATCTAGTAAGAGTTGAGATTTAGCAAATGTTGAATTCTGAGCAATGTCCTGAGAATGTGCATTTTTTCTTTTCCGCCCAACTCTGAGTTCTATTTGCCCAGTTTCAGGAACCAGCACTCACTAGGATATTTTTTTTTCATCCATTCATTCAATAAATATTTATTAATAACCCACTGTATACAAGGCACTGAGCCAAATAGTGAGGATACAGCCCTAAACAAGAAATATATGGTCCTGCCCTCAAAGAGCTCACAGTCTAGTAAACAAGGCAAATATCACACAAAGATGTCAAACTGTACCAGGAATCTTATGAAGTGAGTTAAGGCATTAAACAACTACCCCCAGCTTTCCTAACCAAATGCAAGCTCAGGACAAAAACATTCAACTGAGAGATAACTAAACAAGACATAGTTGTATCTCATTTTTTGTTTGTGCTTTAGCTGAAATATCTGATGGCTAGCATAATAATCCATAACAGGATTATTATTCTGGTTCTATCATTTATGTGTGTGGAACTGGTTATCTCCTTTTAAAATCAAAATCCTGTATTTTGGTGTTTGCACTCTGTCAATTATTTACTTCTCATCACATCTGAATGGACTGTTCTGTTGAATTAATCTCACATTCGAAAACTGTTGCTTTATAATAGTCCCGGTTTTTTATGTTTTCCATAAACTTGAATTAATTTAATAAAGACTTGAAAATTTGCAAACATTATCATTTATTTTTATACACTTTAAAATTCGATTTTACAAAATATAATGATAGCTACCAAATACTGAATACTTATTATGAGCTAAGTGGGATTCTTCTTTACACAGTTTGTTGTAATTTCCTCCACCTTCCTATAACCCTGCAAGGTACTAATGGCTCTATCTTACAGATGGGTAAACGGAGGCACCGAGACATATCACACAGCTAGTTAATGTAAAGCCAGGAATGGAACCTCTGATTACCTGACCGGTTAACTTATCCTCTCAAGAATCCTAAATTGAATAGAGTTCTCACCCTCCAGGGCTATATGCAGTAGAATTACTCTTTATGCAACATTTTAATGATATTGCAATAATACAGTTAAAGTTTTTAAGCAACTAGAACCCAATAAAACATCTAGGGTGGCATAAAATATCTAATTAATGAAATGAAAGGTAAGATAACTTCAGGTAAATGGAGGGCGTTTAACTATGAAGTCTTTGCCGACATGAGTAAACTGCACCAAGCAGCAACTTCCAAGCCTGGCGGCGTGTAACTTTCCTAAAAAGAGGGGAAATTATTTTAGGATAAGTGGAGGTTGGCCTGAAAACTCCTAAAGAAATCCTAGGTCAGGGAGAGCTTGCGTTTCTTCAGTGGAGCTGGTTCCTGGATGCAGTGATTAGGAGTTAATTGCCCTAAAGGGATGGTCCACGTTTCGGGAGTAGAGACTAGCACAAGCATTTAATTTAAGCACACACTACCGTCATCGCTTTGCAAACATCATCAGATAGTCCCCATTAAAACGTGGAGAGCTTTATGAGAGAACAGAAATGTAAACTTGAAAATCGAAATTGAAATGCATATGGATCAAACTGTTCTGCACTAACCTCTTCGTTTATCCCAGTGAACAACCAGAATCAACTGAGAGCACCCAGAAAACACTTCCACCAGCAAAATACAAACTGTAAACTCAAGTGACATCCACCCTGTGGCTAAGTTTTTTAAGGTCTGCAGCACTTTTAGGGTTTGCCTTTTCCCCTCTTGTACAACGGCTCCACTACACAAATTTGCTAAAACCGTTCGCTGGGCACTAATATGGAATCGCTTAAAAAGAAACATGCCACTTTCGGCTAGGGGACAGCATGCTCGTCATTCAGTGTCCTACTGGTTTCTTAACACGCATATAATTAATATTGGTACTCAGGAAAGAGAACTTCTTCTGACCTTGAGCGTGCGCGCTAAATAAATTACCTCAGAACGAAAGTGGTGCGATCTCAAAACAGCATCTGGGGAGAAAAGAGAAATGACACTTCATTTAACTCCTTGTTCTTCACCTAAGTGATTCATGACTTACCTGGGAGACCAGGGTCGGGAAAGCATATTGCAGACGCCTGGAATTCGGTGGGACATCCTGGGGAAGGGAGGAGTCCTGGGGCCATCGGTCTCTAGGTGATTTCTCTGCGAGAAGTTTGCATGAAAGTTCTGGGGGAGTTGGGGAGTCCCGAACTTTCCATGCCTTACTTTCTTACCCCTACGCTCCAGCGAAGGACGGGTGAAGGCAAGGCTGCCGCAGCCCCGGACTACGCTCAAATTACCCTTAAGGCTTTAGCAAACTGACTGAAAATTTGAGTTCGTTTCTCCCCTCCCTGCCCTCTGCATCGCCGTGGTTATTCAAACCTGGGAGACTGGAGGGCGGAGGTGAGGGCAAAAAGGGCAAGGGGCGTTAAATAAAGAAACGTACTCAGCCTGGGGAGTGGGCAATGATGGGGCTAGGGGCAGCCGAGGAGAACTGAGGGAGCCGCGCTTCACTCTCCAAATCGGCTTAAATGTTCCTGGTAGCCGCAGAAACCCGTCGCGGCGTGTCTTACCTCGGCTTCTCGAACGACCCGAGAAGACCGATTTCATCGGATGCCTCCCTTTCTGGAGCTTGCGGTGCCAGCAGCAGAAGAAGACGATGGTGGCGATGGTGCCCAGCAGAAGCAACAAGAGGAAGAGGGCACATTGGATGCTGTAGGGTCTCAGCAAGACGAGGAAAGCCGCGGCGATCATGGTGCGGGCGAGGCGGGGGCGACTCGACGGCGGGGCTGGAGGGCGGCG